GCTGTAAAGGCGAGAGGGAAGGCAGCGAGCGAGGGGAGAGCAGCGCGGTGCCCGCGCCCCATCCCAGCTCGCTGTGCCCACCGAGCCCCGCGCTGCGGCTGTCGGGGCCACCCGGGCTGCGGGCTCGGCCTGTCCGTCGGGGAAGGCACGGCCCGGCCCGGCCCGGCACGGCACGGCTACAGGAGGGACCCCTTTACTATGGCCAGGGACTCGGCCCCGGGGTAGCCTGTGCCCCGCAGGCGGGCCGTGCCTTGCCGTGCCGTGCTGCGCTGGGTCGGGCCGTGCCGAGCCGTGCCGGGCCGGACCGGGCAGTCTCGGGTCCTTTCAGCATTTGGACAGCGGTGCGGGGCCGGGAAGGCGGCGGGGGGCGGTGGGAGCTGCCCGGGCCAGGGGAGGTTTAGGGGCGGCCTGAGCCCTTTCGCCGTCCGCCGGCACCGGGCCCGTTCCTCAAGGGCTGGGGGGCACCGCCAAGAGGGGACTCGGGTGTCGGGGTGCGGGGGGAGCTGGCCCCGCTGTCCCCCCGGAGAAGCGCTCCCCGGGGCCGGGGGAAGAGCGGGGTGCCCGGTGGGGGGGCCAGGTGAGCGACGGCGGCCCCGGGGGAGCGGGAGGCAGAGGGGCTCTCCGGGGAGAAAGGGGGGTACGGGCCCCCCTCCCCCGCGCAGCCCCATCCTCGGGGGGTAATTAAGGGGTGAGGCGGAGGGGCTGCGCTTTCTGCTCGGCGGAGCCTGCCAGCCACCAGCCCCCGCCGCCACCGCCGCCTTCCTCCCGTCCTCCTCCTCTCCCCCTCCCTCCCTCCCACCGCCTCCTCCCCTCCCCCTCTCCCTCCTCCTCCTCCTCTCCGCCATGGTTGGAGTGAATAGGCGGCTGCCGGGCTGACGTCAGTGCGGGCAGAGCCTGCCGGCGGCGGCAGCTCCCGGCCAGCGACCAGAGCCGGCACCGGCAGCAGCCGGGAAGATGCACGGAGCCGGGGCAGAGCCGCCTCCGCCGCCCCCGCCGGTCCGCGCCTGGGGCTGGGGGTTGCGGGAGCCGCCGCTCGGCCGGGGGCAGCCCTGCCTGCCCCTCCGCCAGCCCGGGGACGGGAATGACCCCGCCGCCCGCTTCTCCCGGGACCACCGTCCTGCCCTCCGCACGGCAGCAGAGTGAGTGTCGCGGCCGGGCATCGCCGCCTCGGCGGGGCGGCCCCGGGAGGCGGGAGGCGCGGGGGGACAGCGTCCTCCGGGGGGACACAGCGGCTGCCGGAGGGGAGGAGGGAGGCAGGGAGAGAGGAAGGGGGGATGCGAACTCGGGCCGGTTCCCGGCGGGAAGTTGGGCTCCTGCAGGTGCCGGCACCAGGCGGGACCGGGACCGCCCCGCGCCGCTGCCCGGCCCCGGCTCTCCCTCAGCAGGGCACGAGTGGGAAACACCCGGCGCCTTCTGCTGCCGGGGACGCGTTCGCTCCGGCAGCTTCTCCCTGCATGCCCGGCACGGTGCTGCTCGGGAGAGGGGCCCGGGGCGGGCTGAGCCCCGACGGGACGGGGGGAGCTGGGGCCGAGCGCTGCCGGGGGTGCCGGGGTTCCCCCAAACCGGTGGGAGAAGCGGCACCGGGCAAAACGCCCGGATGAGGCCGAGCCTCCCGGGACACCCAGGCTTTAGGCCGCTGGAGAAATCCCGGGCTCCCGAGGAAGTTCATCCTCCCGGTGCAGCGGGTGCTGCTGCAGGGCCTGATTTTAGGGATGAGGGGAAGGACATCAGGGCATCCCGCTCCCCTGCTCGGATTTACCCCTAAGGAGCAGCAACGGGGTTACCGCTGCTCTTGTGCCCTGCTCTGCCACCGGCTTCTGGTGCTGGTGGAATTTTTTTCATTTTTCATTTGCTGTATGCATTTCCTTTGCAAAAAAAAAAAAAAAAAAAAAAAAAAAGAAAAAGAAGAAAAGGGGAGGAAAGCATTTTTATTTTATTTCATCCTTGTTTATTATAATTTTATTTTTCTTTCCGTTTTTACCATCATTTTCAATTTTTAAAATTTTCTAATTTTCCCCCATTCATTCTTCCTTTTTGCTTCCTGCCTTCCCGCGACTGCTTAATTCCTCGGGGCTTGTTGTTTGGCTTTTGTGTTTTGTTTTGTTTTTTTTTTTTCTATTTCCCCTGTATCACCCTGGAAGTGAAACGCATTTTAGGCCTCAGCCTTAAGGAAACCCGAATCATAGCAGTGCAGGTGGCCTGAGAGTCTGCACCTGGCCGGATCCCTCCGACGTGCCTCCACCCCCGGCCCCGGACGGGCAGCACCTCGCCCCGCCAAGCGAGGAGGCTCCGGGCCGGTCCCCACCTTGGTGTTGGCCCCGACGGCCGGAGAGAAAAGAGGAGCCGGGGGTGAGACGCAGCCGCTTTTCCTTTTCGGCGCCGGGGCTTGCTCTGAGGCGGCTTTTAATTACTAAACAAAGCCACGCGTTTCCTTCACGCCCGTCGGGAGCTGCCGCTTCTTTGCCAAGCCCCGATGGTGAGGGGAGAAGCAAACCCACCACCACCCCCCCCCCCCCAAAAAAGAAAAAAGGAGAAAAAAAAAGAAAAGAAAAAACACCCCCAAAAAAACAATTAGGAGATGCAGCTCGAGGCTGCGAGGCGTGGGGGGTTACTCCAGGTTGGCTAAAAATAACTTCTCCTAATTAAAGAAAAGTGACGTCAGACGTGCAGGACGTAGAAGAGGGGAAGGCAGCGGACTCGTTCCTGGGTGATCACGTTAAATAATTCAGGGCCGGCCTGCTGACCGGGCTCTTCCGAGGTGCGGCCAGCGGGGCCGCCCGCCTCGCCTGGCGCCGGGGTCAGCCGAGGAGGGAGCGGGCGGCGGGGCCGTCCTGTCCGCAGCATGGTGCAGCACCATGGCCAGAGCCCGGCACCGCCGGCCCTCCCCGTCCCATCGGGCCGCCCGCCGCCGTGGGGGCTTTTCTCTCGTGCACGTGGAGGAGAGCCCCGTGGGCAGGGCATGAGGACGCGAGCTGGCTCCGGGTGATGCCATCGGAGCCAGGGGAGCCCCGCCGATCCGTCCCCAGGCTTCTCGGCGGTGCTTCGCGCTGTGCCAAGGAGCCATTTTGTACGCATCCTGCTCAAATTGCGCCAAAAAGAAAGCCCAAACCACCCCTGCCCGCCACAAAAATAACCCTCCAAAATAACCAAAATTAAAAAAAAAAAAAAATCCCACAATATCCAAGCGTAAAACCAAACAAAAATACCCCGAGCGCATGGTATTCTCTCCCATGTACTGGGGCTCTGCCTACGCGGAGAGAGAGGGTCAAGGCGAGAGCTCCGAGCAGAGCAAAACATTGCCGAAAAGGAGCAGGGAAGAAAAATAATATCATATGTATTCCTGCCAAGAAAATCACCTCCTTTGACCGGCAGAGAGAGGGGATCTCGTCTCCAGCCCCGGGAAGCCCGGCGAGGTGCGGTGTTTTACCCGCAGCATCCTCGGCTGAGCGGCACGGCGGCCCGGGGGCTCGGCACGGCGGGCGGCAGATTTCGCACGGCGGCACAGCCGGGCAGAGCTGAGCCTTAGCGGGGCTGGCTGTGCCCGCCTGGGCCCCCTCGCCGCTGCCGCAGGGACAGCGGGGCCGGAGCGGGGCCGCATCGCCGCCGAAACGGCCCCGGGAGCGGGGGAAGCTGCCGGCGGCGCCCCAAGCTTCTCCCCGCGGTGAGTAACGAGGCCTCTCCCGTTAAAGCGGGTACAGCGAGGCCGGTCCCCGGGCCAGGCGAGCCCTTGGTGGTGCCCGCTCGGTGCCACAGTCCCCGCAGCCCCGGGCTGCCCTCCGAGGCAGCGGGGCGGGCGGGCGACATCCCCCGCCCCAGCCGCCAGCATTCCGGCAGCGACCACCCTAACAGCGAAACAGATAAATTAGGAGAAAATCCAAGGCCGTAAAATTAAGGAGATCCCATTCATGGCAATTTTTTCCCCCATGCCTCTAGGATAGGTTGAAATAAACGCCGGGCAAATCCCCTCCCGAGCGGCTCCGGGCCGCGGGGAAGGCACCGAGGGGCTGGAGAGGGAGAAAATATTTCTCCCCACCTTGCCCAGCCCCGTCGGGGCGGCCAGAGCCCAGCCGGGCCCGTTTCTCGTTAGGCAGGAGGCGGGAGGGAACGGGCAGCTCCCGGGAGCCAAGCAGCGCTGGCCGGGCTCGCCTGGGCGCAGGGAGCAGCGCCGGCTCGCAAAGGGCTGGCAGCCCTCGTCCTTTAGCTTTTAGCCTGATTGAGCTGGTAGATTTTATTTATTTAATTTTAAAATTTTTTTTTTAAGGGGATGGCGGAGAGGGGGAGGGCGAAGAGAGGGAGAAATAAATAATCCGAGCGGAGCTCGCCGGGAGCCGGAGGCGGCGGGACCGGCAGGCAGCGCTCTGCCGCGGCTGCTCCCGCCGAGATCGCTTCGTTTTGCAGCAGGTCACATTTTACCCTCGTCTGGGATTTAAAGAAAGGCGATATTCAGAAGGGGCGAGGGATTACAATTTTAATTTTTTTATTTTTAAATATGTTTTTTAGTGAGGAGTAGGTCAGTTAAGCACCCCAGATAATCATATTTACCTCCTGGCATTTTAGTCTGATTATTGTTGCTGTTATTATTTGTATGTGCCGGATTCGCCGCTACACGCACATTGCGTTAAGAATCTGCGCAGGAAATAGCAGAATCTGGAGGGGAAATAATTAAAAGTGCGGGGAAATGGGGAGCAGAGAGGATCTGTGGGGGATCGCGGGTGCGTTCCCGGGGCAGGTTTCGGGACGGGGGGCTCCGAGTCTGGCTGTAGAGAAAGGGTTCTGCCTTTCGGGCTGCCCCCAGGTGCGGAGGCCGGACGGGAAGGGCATTGCGGGGAGAGGAGAAGGTGTGAGAGAGGTTCGCTGCATGGGGGGGGGGGGCGGTATGGAACACTGAGGAGAGGGAAAAATGGGAGAAGGAGTCGGGAACACGAAAAGAAAATGGATGGAAAGGGAAAAAGGTGGGGAGAAAGGAAAGGCCAGGGAAAGACAGAGAGTGAAGAGGAGAGGGGATGGTGAGAGGGAAAAGGAAGAGAGGGGAAAGGGAAAGAGGCGAAAAGGAGCGAGGGCAGTGCCGGGGAGCGGGAAAGGGAGCTTAGCTGCAGGTGCAGGGCTATGCAGGGGCGCTGCTCGCCTCTCCCCCGGCCCAGCGGCGCTGCCGCGGGGGCACGTCGGGGCGGGAGGGGGCAGGGGAGGCGAGCGAGCCTCGGCGCAGCCCCGGCACAGGCCGGGCGGGGCGGGAGGAGCGGCGCAGGGCCCGGTGCCGCCCGGTGCCGAGCCCGGCCGTGCCGGCCCGCCCCGTCCCATCCCGGGCTGGAAAGCGCGGGAAAGGGGGCGCTGATTTAAATGAGGGCTCGGGGATTGGCTGGGCGCGGCGTGACGTCACTTCCCAAAGGGGGCGATTACCATGCGAGGGGAGTAGAAGTTGGGCAGCGGGGCGGGAGCGCGAGTGCCGCTCGCCGGGCCGGGCCGGCGGGCTGGGCACCGAGCGCCGAGCACCGGCCCCTGCAGCCCGCCCGGCCCGGCCCGGCCCCGCGCTGCCCGGCCCGGCCCGGCCTGGCTCGGCTCGGCTCAGCTCGGCACAGCCCGACCTGTCTCGGTACGGCGCGGTTCGGCTCCGAGCCCCCGCGGCAGCGCGCCGTGGCTCTGCCCCGGCTCATCTTCTCTGCTTCGTATTTATCTTTTTTTCTCTCTCTCTCTTTTCTTTTTTTTTTCTTCTTTTTTTTTCTTCTTTTTTTTTTCTTTTTTTCTTTTTTTTTTTTTAATGTGTGTGTGGTTCCCGGTGGCAGCTCCTGGCCGCCCTGCCCCGGCCGTGCCCGCACCTTGGAGCGGACGGACGGAAGGACGGACGGACGGATGGCCGGCATCCCCGACGGAGGGATGTTTCTGTCTTTGGTTATCTAGCTGTATGAGTGTTGTGGAGCCATCATAAAGCTAGATAACCGAAAGTAGAAATGACTTCCAGACCTGCTCGCCCAGGGGAAGCGGCCGCACCAGGACCGGCAGTGCAGAGACGGCCCGACTCGCCGCCCTGGGGGCTCCAGGTAAGGGCTGCGGGTCCGCGACCTCCCCGTCGGGCCGCTCCGGGCAGCCCGGGGCTCCGCGGCAGCGGGCGGGAGGGACGGGGACAGCGAGGCGAGCCCTGCGCCAATTCTTCCTTTGCCAAATAAATCCGGGCTTTAATTACCGGTTAAACGCACGTCGAAATTCACTCCTAGGCTGCGGGGTGTTGCGGCTCTGGGAGGATGGAGAGAGCGAGCACCCTCCCCAAATAAACCTTTCCCCCGTCCCAGCCTACTGGGCAGACCACGAAACCCCCCAGCTTTTGGATATCTTTCCTTCTCTCTCTCTCTCTCTCCCTCTCTCTCTCTCTCCTGCTCTATTTTTTCGGCTTTGGATTTGATCCTGGCCTCCCTTTGGAAGGTCAAGTTGGTGAGAATGCGATCACTTTTCTTGCATGGTGGCTGTTGCTTTTGTTCGTAGCTGCGGGGGGATGCCTGGGGAAGGGGTCCCGCTGCTGGGTGCACCCCTCCAGCGTGCAGCCGCCCGGCCCTGAGGCTTCTCTGGGAGCCGAGCGCTTGGCAAGGCACAAAGCCTCCCTCACCTCCGCTGCAAGCCCCAGAAGTTGAAACATAATATGTATTACAATGTCTGGCAAATAAAAAAAAAAAAAAAAAAAAAAAAAGGGAAAAGAAAGAAAGAAAAGAAAAGAAAAGCAATTGGCACATCTGCATTCCGTTCCCATGGTGACACAAAGCACCGTGCTCTCCGCCGAGCCTCCCCGGCACGTTTTCCCAGCTGGCGTGGGGCGAGCGCCCCTGGCCGGGAGCGGGGTCCCCCGGGCCCCCCGGCACCCCGGGGCCAGCTGCGAGCATCGCCAGCCGCCCCTCGCCCGGCGCTGGCCGCCCGCGCTCCGCAGGGATGATCCCCGCGCTGCCGCCAACCCGCGCGGGTCGTGACAGCTCCGGGGAGGCTGCGGAGAGAAACCTCCCTGTGGCAGCGGGCTCTTAGCTGGCTCTCTGCCCCCCAGGAGATGCTGCGGGAGATGGGGAGGGCTGGGAGAGGCGCTGCCGCCTTCCCACTGCTCGGCGAGGCGTAGCGCGGGTACCCTGCCCCATCCTCCGCAGCGGGCATCCCTTGCCGAGGGACAGAGAGGGGAGCACCGCGGGGCCGAGCCCCCGAGAGAGGTGGGAGCCCCCCGCACCTCGCAGGCAGGTTTTCCACCTTCCCTTGCACGGGGTAATGGCGTCAGATGGCACGTAGGCCCGCCAAGCTAAATCTGCCTGTGCACCCTTCCAGGGCCAGCAAAGCACCGCCATAACCACAGTAAGGAAAAAGGATCTCAGCCTGAATTTGGCTATACCGGGAGAAAGAAAAGTTCTGAGGAGCTGTTATTATATATTCTAATGAGAAGTCATTGGAGAAATTAAAAAGGGCAGAGAAAGACGAAGACGCCAGCACTAATTCCGCAGGAAGCCTCCCAGGGAAAAGGCTGTGTGAGTGTGAACGCTGAAAAGCATGAAGGCCTGGAATTAGACTATCATTTAGAAAGCGTTACTAATCCGAAGTTACAGCAGTAATTCCATGATTTGCTGGGTCCCACACGCAGCGCCAGAATTAAAGATACGGATTTTCTAGAAATGTAACTCAACTGTGGCACCGAGTCTCGGCAAGATCCGAATGAATCATTCATTCCAAAGGCAGCGAAAGACGTGTCATTAAGAACCAACCTCCTTCTCTCCAGCCCATCTGGAATATGTATACTTGATGCAATCCCAGAAATTGTGGAAGAGATCGGAGGTGGGGAGGAAGGAATGTAGTCCTTTCCCTCCTTTATTATGTTGGCTATTTTTAAGAAATAATTTTCCAATTATTTTCACAATATTGTGAGTGGCGCTCAATTCTTCTCCTATTTATTTTTTTCCCTCTTTGGTGCGCTAGCATCGAGTCAGGTGCAAACGGTTTCATTGGAGATGCTTTAAAACTAGACTGAACAAAGCAGGAGGGAACTGAGCAAGGTGGTTGATGAATGCATTTATTCCGGAGTAATGATTTGATGGGGGATGGAGGAAAGAAACATTCAAATTCCTAATGAATGTAATTCAGGAGGAATCATTCAACCAGCATGTTAGAGAAAATCTGTTTGGTGGGAGTGTTCTGCACTGGCAGAACCCAGGAGGTATTTCTGTCCCTGGCCTTTGTAATTGCAAAAGGTGAAAATATAAAAAGAGGATCTGAGGAAAAAAAATATACACACATATAATAAATGTCTTTGTGTGTGTATATACAAATACATATATATATATATATATAATTTTATGAAATAAAATGGAAGTGTGGAAATCCATGTCTACATGAGAACTCTTACAAAGGATTGATGCCAGCCTTTTCACCTTGCTATTCAATCAGCTGGTCAGAAACCACTCTTGACTTTTACTATTTTTTTTTTTCTCCACAAAATCACCTCTCCTGAGCTGATTTTTCAGGTATTTTTTCAGGCCATGTACTTGGTACACTTACCCCAGAGCAGTTCCCCCGAAGGGGACAGAGACAGGGACTCAGCGATTTGGCCTTTAACGTCCAGGAGCAAGAAACTGAGGTTGAATTTTTTCTGCTGCTTTAATACTTCATTTTTGCCCCCATTGTTGGCATGAACCTATGGATGCCTCGAGGAGGTGTGAAGGTAGCACGCCCTCAATTAACAAGGGAGGTGGCAGTGAGTGATGGGGGACAGCGGGATGAGAATCCCCAGCTCCTGTGTGTGTGTGTCGGGGGTGAGGCAGTGGATGAAGCCCCTCAGCAAATCTCTGCCTGTGGCATACCCGCTGCATCCAGAGAGTCCCTGGCAGCCCATCGACAGGTCTCTGCTTTCTGTTTTGTTTTTTTTTTTAAGTGCCATATTGGAAGGGAGGTCCCCAAGGGTCTATCCTTAGGCCAGGGATGGATTTTGGCTGGATAGAGTTCCCTTTGTGGCTTTTTGCCCTGTTAGGGTAGCTGTTGGTTTGAATGGGTCTTTGCCCTTGTATAGGCAAAACCCAGAAGGGAAGGCGTCTTTTTGGAGCGTGCTGAGATGACAGTCCATGTCCTGGCATTCCTGGTTCTTTCTCTTCGCGGTGGGACTCTCCTGGTGGAGAATAGGATGCAGCGTAGGCCAAACATGGGTGAGGTTCCTGGAGCTGGGTTGTGATGTCTTTGTTCTTCAGGCAGAGCTGGGGATGGGCAGAGGGAGACAGAAACAGAGGAATCAGCATGTGCCATTGGGGGATGAATGGAAAATACAGTTTGTGGGTTTCACCCCACGGAAATGATGCTCTGGGAGATCGCGTGCTCCAGCTCAGGATTTCCCACCTTTTCCTAAAACTTGTCCGCCATGCAGTGGGTTTGGCTTGGTGCATGAGATGAAGGGGCTTTATACCAAATACCTGGGGAAGCCAAGCTCACCAGGGCTCGGGGTCAGGTGGAGAAGGGGCTGTTCAGGCCCTGCTGTTGGAAGGAGCTCCCCTGGAAGCCAGGCTGTGTGAGCGTGCACGCTTGGTTATGGATGAAATCCCATCAATGGGCATTTTTGTGGAACTGCCTGGCAATGGCGAGTTCCACTCTTGAGGCTGGGCTCGGCCATTTCTTTTGTCTGTCTTGGCTCCCATGCCCTGCCTGCACCCTTGATGCAAACGGACAGAGCCTCCCTTCTCCTGCTGCTCTGCCCTGGCTTTGTCTGTGCCGCTGCAGAAAGGGCAGAGCTGAGGAGCTTGGAGGGTCCATCCAACCTGTGGCCATGGATGGGTGCTGCTTGTCCACCAGGGAGGGATCACAGCTGCCTGCTGGAAACCCCGGTGTGTCTGGCTGGAGGGAAGGTGCTGGTTTGGCATCAGCACTGAGGTGCCTGGCGCGAGGTGGTGCACACACACCGTTCATGGTGTGGGTGCCACGTGTCACCCTGGCACTGCTGCTGCCACAGTGCAGCCCCTCAGTCACCCTGAGTCTCTGGGTGTCACCAGGGACCACCAGCATAACATGGACATGAGGCTGCCCACGCTGGCTTCCCCAGCACACGGTACAGGGAGTCACCCTGTCCAGGTCGGGGATTTTGGTGTTTCGTGCCCACCTTGGGAAGATGTTTGCCAGCACCCAAACTGGAAAGACATCATCTTGGGCTTCTCACCATCCCTCTGTCCCTCTGAGTGCACATGTTAGTGACCAGAGCTGGCATACGAGGCTGGGCCATCGCACTTCCCACAGGCGGGCTCCCGCACAGAGTCAGGACGAGGTTCTGGCTTTCGTGTTTTCTAATATTTATTCAAGGGCTCAGGTTTGGTTAGGAGCGTTTGCCTCGAAAGCTAAGGAGTGGGGGTAAAAAAAAGAAAATGGGGGGAGCAAAAGAACACAATCTCCGGCAGTTAGCTGTCTCTTGGAAACTCAGCTTGCTGTTCCTATAGAGGCTTTCTCTTTTCCTTCACCCTGGTCTGGCCTTAAGTACCACTTTAAGCGGGCTTTGCTCATTCACATCCAGGCTCCTTAGAGCAATTGAGCCCGCGGGGGTTTGAAAAGAAGGGACAGTCCTTCAATGGCAGGACCTTGGGCCAGGCTAATTGGTTTTGGTTCAAGGGGATACTGGATTTGTGAAAAGCCCAAAGACATCTTTCCCACGCCAAATCCCGGCTCTTCAGAGGGGGAAGTGAGGGGTGCTAGGTGGAGAAGGGAGCTGAAAGAAAGATGGTTTAGTTGAGGAACCTCGTCAGGCCCCGGATGCCCAGCAGCCTCGGCAGGGATGGGCGCAGCAGGGGCAGTGCCCAGGGTGGCACAGCAGCAGGGGCATGGTGCCTTCCTCCTCCTCCTCCTCCTCGGGGTAGGTGGACAGCGGTGGCTGGCTCCTGGTGGCATGCTGGCAGCAGTGGCCTGGTTTCATTAAAACCAGGCTTTTTCAGTGCATGCCAGACTCCCATGGAGATGCCATGAATGCAGGAAGGATGGGACATGGGTCCAGAAACCAAATTGTGTCTGTGTGCTCACCTGTGCAGCCGTAGGGGAAATTTGTTGAGGTCTCTTGTATCTCATTTTGATTTAGGAATTTATTTATTTTTAAGCATTTACTCTCTCTGGCGCCATTCCAGCAGTCCCACGACCTTTACTCTCCCCAATCCATAAAAATCACTTAATTATTGGGCTGAAAATCAAGGCTTGGAAACAAAGCCAGCTTATGGGACCATCAGTTCTTGATATATTTCCTGAGAGGACATATTTCTGGGCACCTTCAGAGCAGAGCACGCAGCTTGTTGGATATGAGATATCAAGGCATTATTTATTGAGGAAGTCTTCACACTCCCTCATCTGTTATAATTAACTGATGACATTTTTTCTTAGGTTCAAAATATGGTGAAAAAGTATAATTAGCACGAAGCTGAGGCACTGCATTAAAATGTCTCCTATAGTTAATGTAGGGTAGTCGTGCTATTTATTATAGGAGGAGCTGGCTCTGACCTCTGTGTTGCCTAACACTTTTTATTGTAAAGATTCTTGAACTTTTTTTTCTTTTTGAGAACCTCTGACACTCCCATTGTTTGCTGTGGGCCCTTGAAATTCGTCTGGGGGAAGCTCTTCGAGTCGAGAAATGCCTGTTCTTTGTCCCTTAAATTCCTTTCAGGTTTAGCTGAATTATGAATTGTTCAGAATCACGATTTCCCTTCGCTTGCCTCTTGGGGAGGGGGGAAAAAATTAAAATTTATTGTTTCCCTGGAATAATAATAACAGATTAGGAGCAGGGTGAAACCATGGACTCCCACCACTTTATTGCAGAGCTCTGGACCAGCCAGGGAAGGTGGGAGGGTGTTCACAGCCAGTTCCATCACCCCTTTCCACCTTTTGGTCATATCCTTCCAGCGCAGACCCTTCTCCTGGGAGAAAACTCCTCCGTGTGCTGGTGCCAGGAGGGAGAAGTGAAGGGGATGTGGGTGCATTGGCCTGGGCACTGCCAGCCCCAGCAGTCCCCTTCTCTGCCGGCCCCAGGAGAGCAGCCTTCTGCCGCTGCCAGATAACATTAGCCCTGTATTTCATAGTGGCAGAAATCTGTGCCGAGGCTTGGGGCTTGAAAATCTCTCTGCCCGCACAGGATGAAGCAGGGATGGGTGCGGGGTGGAGGAAGGGGAATTTGTTACACTTGCCTACAATTGTTTTTCTTTTTGCTTATATAAACAATCTATTATTTATTAGCTATAAATAATGCATTTTTCTGTATGTTTAGAATGCACGTGATTTCTGTATATTAAAAATGTACATGGTTGAAGGCACCAAAGCAGGCGCTGGCAAGTCGGGGGGTACCTGATTTCGTTCTGACCATGAGACATTAATTCAGCCTCTCCCTGCCCGTGCCCTTACGAGGCTGACGACACGGTCACAGCCTATTTTTAGCTCACTCCCTCTTTTCCTGTCCAGAGTGGCTGCACAGCGAGGTGGAATTAAGGTTGCGTGGACAGCCATAAATTGGACACTTCCTAACTTTGAAGTGCTTGACCACGCAATCTAAGCGAGGGCTCTTCAGGGCAGTATTTCTGCACGTGGCGTTAACTGCATTGGCTGGGGACGTCAAACACAGGGGTAGAGAAGCTGTAGAGCAGAAAAGACCCATCAGACTATTGAAAGTGTTTGTCTGAATAGGTGGGGGAGTCAACAGAGCCTACACTTGATCTGAGCTAAATGGCCAAGAAGATGTCTCCAAGCTGAAAGGGGGGAAGCCTTTGTTCCTTCAATCCCTGCCTTGATGTTTTCTTTGCCTTTGGTTTTCCCTCGTTCCCTCCTAAGGAGGTTTGGGCTCCTGCTCTAGAGGAACCTTTGGCTTGTGCAGTGGATTTATGTGCTGGTGGGAGCGGGGGTGTCCCTAGGAATGTGCACACGCGCGCACGCTCCCATCATCGCACCAGCAGACGTGTGCTACCAGCTCACAGGTACTTGCTGATTGGCGTCCTTGCCTTGCCTTGCCTTGCACACTCCCTCTTTCCCATGTCACTGTCAGGAGCCATTCCACATGTTGGAGGGAAAGGAGAGGCCTTTGTGTTTTACATAGGAAGGATAATCTCTTTTTTAGCTGCTGGAAGAATTACTCCAAAGGTGATTATATGCAGAGCACATTTATGTTTGCCTGAAATAGCACTTTTTTTTGTTTTCTTCTTTTCCTTTGTTTACTGGTGGGTATCTCCATTCTGGCTCTCAGTAAGATGCTTGGCTGTCTGTTTTTGAGTGGAGTGGACACCTTGAGCAAATCAGTCTGGAAAGTAAACAGCCCTTTGTTTTACTTTCCCATGTCTAATGCAGTCACAGCCCCTTGCACATACCTTGTGCCAATACCAGAGCACTCTCCCCCAGCTGGCAGTGTATTTGCCCTGGGTTATAATTATTTGACTGAGCAGCTTTGTGTTTCCAGAATTCCTGGAACCTGATACCTGCCTGGGGCCGTTTCTGGATCGGCACAGGTTTCCAAGTGTCCTGCGTTTGGGTTTCCATTGTTTGGGTTGGCTTGTGTTTCATGAGCATCTCTTTCATAACTTTCCCCCTCTCTCCTGCCTCTCAGTTCAGCAAAGGGCCTGTCTATCTGAATGCAGGCAATAAACATCTGTTCTCACCCTCACTTCTGTTAATGAGATAGAGACAGGTAAGCGTCACACATACCAACTTCCCTGCTCTCAGCAACATCAAGGAAACGGTGACAAGCTATTAATGGAAAGTGATGGTCTGGGTGCTAATTAGTGCTTCCTTTTCAACTTTTACCTACATGTCTGCTGAGATGCCCATCCCAGCCTCTCCTCTCTCCTTGCATCCCTTTGTTTCCAGCACGTTGTGTTCACTGTGCACATTCCATGTCAAAGAGTCTTCTCTGTTTTTTCCCTACCAATCACTTTCTGCATCCCTTCACTTCCTTTTTTCCCCTTTTCCCTGGCACCCTCATTCTTCTGTGGTTGTTCCAGCCAAAGAATAAACACGATATTATAGTAGGATCTGAAAGCTTGGGGATGGGATATATGAAGTTGGTCAGGAATTGCTCATCTTCATCACTGGGTAGTAATATTTGCTTGTGGTACTAGTGCACGGGGTCAAATTACCCTGGGGATGTGAGGTCAGAGATCTATCCCCTCTTCCCACAGGTAATGCTGTAGGGAGCCTCCCAGCAGCTCACAGGTCTTGATCATGGAGCAATTAGTATTTAAAGTAGATCTTCTGGTAATGCCCAGAGACCAAGAAGGACAGGCCTCCATGGTGTGAGCCTGCAGGAGATGACAGGTCCTGCCCCAGAGAGTTTGTGATCTAAACCCTAAGTGGTTTTGCTGTCCAGCAGCCCCTGGTTTTTTAATGGCTGGTTTTTGAGATCCACCCCAATTTATGCTGCTGCAGCAACACGATTCCTGGTCTCAGCTTGGTGCCCGGTCTCTCCCTTTTCTCTTTCTTCTGGTCCCCAGGCTCTGTCCCTTCCCCAAGGACACTAATCATCCCCTCCTCACCTTTTCTGCACGGGCTGTGGGTTTCTTGCTGCCAGGCTTGTGTCCCAAGGAGCTGCCTAATCTGCCCCTGTCATTCCCAGTCACAGGCTCTGCACACACCATAGCTTTATGGGGAATGCTTGCAGGGCAGTAGGAAGAGGCAGCCATGGTTTGCACATCAGCTAATTAATTTTCATGACTGAACGATGCTGCCTGGTCTCTTGTTTATACTCCTCGCCTCTCCCCTTCTCCCCCTCCTCGCTGACACACACACAAGACGACACATCTCGTAGGAACGTCAGCATCCTTCCACAGCCTTGAGACGCGAGCGGTTATTCTGTTGGCTTGTCAAACGTGGGTTTCCCTGCTTCATGGTACACAGGGGCCCCCTGTTTCACATTTGCTGATTCTTATTAGACCCAGCGCGCCAGGGCCCTGTCTCTCCCTGCAAAGCAACGCGCCGCATCCCATCCATAAATCCAACCCTGGAACAAAGCCTCTTCTACCCTGCCCCATATTTCTACCCAGCCTGCCCGCTTTCCCCTCTCTCTCTCTCTCTCCCCCTCTCCCGTGCTGAAGGTTTCCTAGTGCCAGGGAGATATGATAATTCTTGTGAAGAGAGCATGAAATGCCTCTGCTCTTTGTGTCTGTTTAATTCAATGAGAATCCCAGCCCCAGATGTCATGAATGGTGGGCTTTGTGCTGGCCCTTCCTAAGCCCTAACCGCCAGCCCAGCTCTCTGTCTTTCTTGTTTCCCACCACTGGATACTGATTAACAAACTAAATTATTTTTCCTCCCTAATGATGTTTTCCCACTTTGCCCACCAGGCTGGAAGAAGCCACAGGGAGGAAAGAGTTTGTGCAAAGGATGAGATAGCCAGGGAGAAAATTAAAGAGACAGTGTTGCTGTCTGGGGTCTGGCAATGCAGGTCCACTCAGCTTTATTTCCTTATTAGAGAACGGGGTCGTGTCTGGCTGTATTTTACGTGGCTGGGTGTATTTCAGCCGAGGGATGGGCTTGAAAGCATCCACACAACGTATGCTCTGGAGCATGCCAAGGTCTGTAACTCACTTGCAATTGTGTGTGCAAGTTTGCACGGCCCCAAATTTAAGGTCTCTTTTCCAAACGTGAGTGACATGCGGTAATTACTTGACATCCGTCCATGCAAATGGGAACCTCTTTCTAATTGAGACAAATTCTCTTTTCCTTAATCAGACATGACTGAGAGTTCCTGGAGTGGGATGCCTTGGGAAGGGCTGGGACGTCTCCACCTGAGCAAGGAGAGGTGAGTCCCTGGAAGTCTTGCTGAAGGACTGAGTCCAACTCATGCATGGGAGACCAGCTCTTTTACCTGATCCCTCCCTCTCTCCAGCAGCCAAATTCCCAGCCAGGCTTTTGAATCAGGGCCAGTTGTTAGCTGCTGCTAGAGAAGACCAGCAGCGATAATCCAGGGAGCCTGGATGGAGCTGGAGGCAGGTGGCCAAGGCAGGATTGTGCAGAGCCACCTGCTTCTTGGAGCCCAGCAGTGCCTCCTTGCTGGACACCAGCGAAGCTGTGTCCAGCAAACACCCTCCTGTAGCAGTAAAAGAGGGTGGGTGTCAACCTTGTGAGTAGAAAAGATGGTAGGGAGGGAGAGAACCTTTTAACAACAATCTGGGGCTCTGAGTTGTGCCGTTGGGAGTAATTGAGAGGGGGTTGGTTTGGCATTTTGATTTTAAAAAACTGCAAACAAACAAAAAACAAGAGGAGCCTCTGTATTGGTGGTGTGGACTCCTCTCAGCTGGGACATGGGCAGGGACAGGTGTGATGGATAGGGCACAACAGAGGGCTGGGTGTGCTTAGGAAGGCTCTACAGTGGTGCAGTGCTCAGCCCTGCATTTATCAGAAAATACAATATATGTATTAATCTCTCACAATTGAGAGCTTGAGTCAGAGAGAGCCAGAGCCTTGCCTTTCCCTGTGCAGATCTGGGAGGCTTGTGCAGGCTCAGCTTGGCAGTAGCTGCTCCTGTCAGAGCCACACCAGTGCTGCAGTACCCAGCCATGGTTCCCTTCTTCCTCAGCTTCGACTCAAAGGGGGAATAAACAGGGAAGAGGGAGCTGGTTGCCTGCACCCACCAAGCCCCTGCAAGCACACCCACTGCATCCCACAAAGCACTGCCTCACGTACGGCCTTTGCTTCCCACTGCAGTCACATCTGACCCTTATTACTCCTGCAAGTTAGAACAAGGCAGGAAAAATGGCTGTGCAGTGAGTTTCTTCATGCGCCAGGATTTATTAAGAACAATAGGGGAAATCAATCCATCTATGTAGAATACATCACAGGCTGCAATGGGATAAAGCATTTATTCCGCTCTTGAAGGGTAGAGCTATAACTCATGGGAGGCAAAACCCTTAGTGCTCTGGAGTCCCTTCCCTTCATGTGTGCAAAGAAATGCTTTAGCCCATGGCAACCTACCAGCTATTGAATTTGTGTGGAGAATCTGCCGTCCTTCCCCTTTGCCGGCCCCTTTTTGGAAGGCAAGTCACTCATTAAAACACACCTCTGGAAAAATGAAGGGGCTGTCGGTTCGAAGGCATCTCTGCATCTCGGTTTTACTTTAAACAGAAAGGGAATAGAAATGTCTCAGTGATTTAAAAGCAACCCCCCACCAATTTTGAATGGACAGATTGTGCTTTAACCAATGTAGGATTTGCTGCAACTTTCTGCTGATGCCCAAGGACCAGGCGCTGCAATTACAGCAGAGAGGGATGGGTTGGGGTGTTGTGACAAGGCGAGATGCTGTGCAGGGAGATGTGTGTTGTGCAGCTGAACACCTCCAGTGCTGACTAGATAGATGTGTGTGTATATATATAAGTACTCCCTGTGCCCAGCTCTCTACTCGTGGTAGAAGGCATGCAGTGCAAAGACTGGAGCAGTAGTTAGCAGGGGCAAAAGGTGACCAGGATTTCTTATAATCTTTCTGGTTGTGAGAGAGTGTGAAGCTGGTGGGGGGGGTTGTGGAGGGGTGACATTAATAGTGAAATGGTCTTTTCACTAAGCCTATTTTCACTGGGTCTAATCTATGTTGTGAGAAGAGGATCTCTTCCATAGGGCAGACCCAGCAAGGCTGGTGAGCTGTTTGGAGGGGTCTGGGCTGCCAAGGAACATGGGCAGTGGGAAGCCAGGCAATTGAGCAGACACGTCAGACAGCCTTCCTCAGCAGAGATGACTTGGTAGGTAGCGTGCTGTTGGGCAGATGGGGTTAATTCTTACACCCAAATCAAAAGGCAACCGAGGGGGGAATGTTTTATTAATGAAAGCAGCCCTTTGTGAGTATTCCTCCCGAGGCACGTTCCCTCCACCCGCTGCCTTCCCCCCTGGCTGCTGTCTGGCCCCACGTCTTGCTCAGTACCTGCTCAGCTGCCACTCACCCACTGATAGGTTTCATCAAGAAATGTCTCCATATGTGTCTGAGTCCTGAACCTGGGTATGTGGGATGGGAGGAGGAGGAGGAGAGATGAGTCCTTGGCCATGCTGGAGATGGGGGTTTGCCACAGGCAGGCAGAGCTCAGGCTGTCACAGGTTGCCCATCAGCCCACTGATTGTGCAATGGTGCTGCAGGAGTCGCCTCTTGCTGGCACTGAAGAACAAGAGGAACAGAATGCTAGGTAAAATGCAGGTTGAAAGTGGGTACTCCAGTGGGTAAGGGATAAAGGGAACAGCTGGAGATTGGGTTGGAGAGGTTGGAAGTTGCCTTGCCCACCATCCACCCAGTCCCCTTCCCATCCCACCACCTCTTGCCTGCCATGCAATGGGTTCAGGAGAGGAGCAGGAGATTTCTGTGCACCCAGAAATCAGCCTCTCCTGGTCTTTCTCACCCTGCTGTCTCCCCATGCCCATGTCCTCAGGGGCCCTGGACACCTTGTTCTGTTAAAGGACAGGGCCGTGGGAGTGTCAAGGGCTGTGTGTGGAGATTAATTCTGTCGCTTTGTTAAAAATAAAACAAAAGCTGGTTTATGACAATTGATTCAGGAGAAAGAGGAAGTGGAGCTCAATTCCCAGAGTACCTTTTAGCAAGGCTCTGCATGCACGCGCGCGTGTCGTACGCGTGTCAGAACTGAGCACCCACGGAAGGCCGGGTTGGGAAACCTCACATGGAAGCGGGGAAAAGACCCCAGTGCATGGCTGCTTCCCTGAGGGAACCCCCGCAGGGCTAATGTTTGATCTGAGGCTCCCTTGTACTCCTCTGAAACCTTGGGATGTCAGGAGCTCGAAGGGAGCCTGGGATGGAAGAGGATGCTATTTGCATTTTCCTATGAATGCATCTATTTGTATAAATCTGGTGTCTCTGTGCATGCGCACACTCCCCTACGCATGCATTTGTTTGAAGAGCAACACGCTGTCCCTGTAGTGTTCTCTGCTCAGGGCCAGAACTGGTTAGTCTGAAATTCAGACTCTTCCTGGAGAAGCTGCAACTCCCCTCCCCGCTTCAAATCTAGCAGTGGCTATGGACATAGGAGTCCCGAGATGGTTCACCATGCGATAGCAGAGTTTCATTGTGGGGGATGAAGGCTCCCCCTTTCAAATTTGCACAGACATCAAAAGAATCTGGAAGGTTCAAACAGATCACAACGTAATCAAAATGCCAAGCCACCGTCTGCTTCTGCCTTTGGGTTGACAAGCAGGATTAGCACCCAAGGGAAGCAGGGTGTAATAGTGTTTCACGGGCACTGTGAACAGCCCAGGAGTGTGTGGAGTACAGAAAGGTTAGCCGAAGGGCAGGTCTGGCTACAGACGTACGGTTGGGGGCGGATTTTAAAGCAAGGAGCTGTACTCGTACAACCTCCGTGGGTATTTACTTTAGCAGAAGGCAGGACTCTCCTGTATACCAGTGATGTCACGCTGGAAGCAGTTTAAGCTAAACTGGAGAAAGCCAGTTTAAGAGTGAAGATGTGCACCAGCGTGGCGAGGAGCAGCAGCAGTTGACCTATAGTGCTGTCATTATAATGGTGTGGTTTTCCGTGTAGACAACCCTGGAGCGGAGCAGCTAGCCTGCCATCCCTTATGTTTCACTGTCTAGCTGAGATGTATAACATGGCCCTGCCTGCATGCAGTTGCAATCACCCTCTGGTTCTCCACAGAGTACTGGAGCAGAAGCCGAATTTTCAACGTGCATTGTGTGCCTATTGCATCGTCTAAAGTAGTCCCATCATAGCTAAAGATACATTAAATGCTTCCCAAATTCTGCTTTAGTGTCAGTAATTGTTGGTCTTGTCCTGAAGGCAGCCTGAGACCAGAAATGAGGGCTCCTTGGTTGGTATTTGGTGTTGCTCATTTGGAGAACTGAGCAGCACTGATGTGTCCACTGTAAAGCTCCCATGGAGTGAGAAATGTATCAGTAGCTTTGTCTATGTTGTCTGTGTAGCCATGCATTTTATAACTGACCTTGTTTTAAATTTGTGTTAAATTAAGGTTTGGGAAGCTCATGTCTTCTTTACTGATATCACTGCAGTTTTGGTTTGGGATTTATTTTATTTTGGCCAGGAGAAAGGCATAATTTGCCTATAACTCACTCTCTGATGGCTGGACAGGTGACATCTTGCCTTGTAGCTCTCGGAATGCTCTATCTGTCCAGGCTGTGTCTTCCAGGGTCACTCCAGTGCCTGGCAGCCTTCAGAACTCCCTGGGACACAGTGAGGCAGGCTGTGTGGGGTATGCCTGCTCATGTCCAACAGTAACGCCATGGCAAGGGCACAGCTGCCTCTATGGCCATGGGCAGGGCCCAGGCAGTGTGTGCTGCCTGGTGAAGGAGAAGTGTACCAAGATTGTTCCAGCCAGGAGGACTGGGGAGAGAGCTGTGGGAGCGCAGCGCGCCCAGCGCCTTGGCGCCATGAACAGGGCCCGGGCTAAGATGGCCGCTCGCCAGCGCACTCTGGTCCACCATGGCAACTCCTTTTCTCCTGAGGCCCCCTTTGCTGGCTGCCACTGCTCCCGGGTGCCCACAGCCTCAGGGCTGGTGGAGGGGAGCCCGCTGGGATGGGCCAGCTGCGGGCCTGAGGCAGTGTGGGCCCCGGCGGCCATTTTGCGGGAGGCGAGCGCCGCCTGTAAGATGGCCGCATGGGCATGAGGTGGGGTGCAGCGCTGCCTTGTCCTCGCCACGCTGCTTCCCTCACGTCGTCCCCTCCTTATCTTGCTAATTACCGATGAAGGCAGAACAATAACGGGAGCTGGCATGCCCCAGTTCTTTCTCTGCCACCTCCTTCCTCGGGCGGAAAATCTGCCCACACACCTCCCCCCCACCGC